TAAATGACTTTTTTTCCCTTTTTGATCCTGTTAGTAAGTTTATTACATCACTGAGTTAATTTTTACTAATGACTAAATGAAACGTTTGAATGAGGATGCTCCCTGCCCTTAAAAAAGAGAGAGAGTCTATTTATTAAAGTTGCACAAGGAAAAGTTTTTTTTTGTTGTTTTTTTTTTTTATTTTTTTGTGTGTGTTTTTTGTTTTTGTTTTTGCATTAAGGAATTCCTAGGCTAATTGTGGTATTCTGCTTTGGAATCCCATTCCAAACAGATAATTAATCAGCCAGTGTTTGACTTCATTCAATGGACATAGATTGCCTATCTCCTTTGAGCTAAGTACTGGGAATCAGATCACTTTATAGGAGGGGGAAAAAAAACAAAGAAAAAAAAACCTTACTCCCTTTTACCTGCAGATTCCGCCTGCCTTCCAGACTTGCAGAATACAGCATGTTGCATAAATTGGTCCTGAATAAAGTCAGAATATAAGGAGGTAATTCCCTAGAATCTCCTACCCTATAACCCACCACCATCTCCTCAGGGCCTTTTATGCCTAACTGCTCCCCAGACAGTCCAGAAGGAAGCTGGAAAATGAGGAACCCAAAGTACCAAAGTGGGGCTTGTCCTTCGGAGATAGAACCCAATTAAAGCCAAAGCAGAGATACTCAGAAAAGTATCTGAGTGGAATAAGCTATGTTCTATGACAGCAACAGAAATCTATCCCTTAAGTCAGATGGTTTTATGTATCTTATATTTCTTCCATTGGTATCCAGTAAAGTTCCAGGCTTTCTTTAACTGTGCTGAGGTGGTTTCAAGGTACCGTTTTATCCACTCTTGAGCCTGCAGATTAAAACAAGTCCACTATGGAACCATTTTACCTTTTTTTAGGACCCTTTGCTGGTGTGGTTCAGTTGGTTGAGCATCATTCTGGGTACTGAAAGGTCACCGGTTCAATTCCCAATCAGGGCACATGCCCAGGTTTCTTGCTTGGTCCTTGGTTAGGATGCATACAGAAGGCAACCGACCAAAATTAAAGAAAAGTAAAATGTACAAAACAAGAACTATGGAATCCAACCACTCTTCCACATCTGAAAATTCTTTTTTTCAATAAGAATCTTAGAGGTTGTGGTTTTATTATCTTCTAAAATTTCCTAAAGAACCTTGTCATTTTCACCAATGTAGTGTTCACATGTGCTTAAAACACAATAGGAACCCACATGTTTGTTGATGGAATAAAAGAAGTAATGCATGGACTTCCAAAGTTTTAAGACTGCCCACTCCAAACTTTTTCCCACAATGTATAAATCTGTCCACACAGTGCTTTATAGGTAGTCATAAACTTCACTCAATAAATGTCAATCAAATGTCTACAATAGCCCAGCTGGTGTGGCTCAGTGGTTGAGCATCGACCTATAAACCAAGAGGACTTGGTTCCCGGTCAGGGCACAGGCCTGGGTTGTGGACTCCATCCCCAGTGTGGGGCATGCAGGAGGCAGCCAATCAATGATTCTCTCTCATCACTAATGTTTCCATCTCTCTCTCCCTCTCCCTTCCTCTTTAAAATCAATTAAAAAATACTTTTTTTTAAAGTCTACAATAGTTAAGATGCTATGCTTTCAGGAGCAATGTAAGTCTATCAGTCACTAACAGTGAATATTTATTGAGGGCCTACTGTGTGCCAAACAGGATACTAGACCCCAAAGATAATACAATGAGTAAGACATACATATTATCCCAATAAATTCAGTTTTTTAAAAAGTGTTTGCCAATCTGATAGTATTTCCTTGTTGATTTAATTTACTCTTCTTTTAATTAGTATTAAGTTTATCAGCCATTTTTATTTTCTTTCTATGAATAATCCTATATTTTTTTAAAAAATATATTTTATTGATTTTTTTACAGAGAGGAAGGAAAAGAGATAGAGAGCTAGAAACATCGATGAGAGAGAAACATCGACCAGCTGCCTCTTGCACACCCCCTACGGGGAAGGTGCCCGCAACCAATGTACATGCCCCTGACCGGAATCGAACCTGGGACCTTTCAGTCCGCAGACCGACGCTCTCCCACTGAGCCAAACCGATTTCAGCGAATAATCCTATATTTTATTAATGTATGCCACAAAGGAAAGTAATCTTTATCATATACGTTGCAAATGTTTTCTCTCACTTTTGATTTGCCTTTGGACTTTAGCTGGAGATTTCTCTCATTTAAAAAAATTTAATTTTTAAATAGTCAAGTTTAAAGTAAAATTTTTAAGAGGTAAAATTTATTTTTTAAAAATTTATGGTTTCTGGGGATATTTCCAAACTTAGAAATCTCTCCATGATTCATTGTCAAAGTTATCCATGTTTTTTTTCTAGCATTTTCATGCAATTTTTACCTTTAAGTAATTGTACCATCTGGAATACAGATTAAGAATTAAGGATGACACTGAGCTTTATTTTTTTTTTTTAATCCAAATGACTAACTGATTTTTCCAGCATTGATTATTAAAGAATCAATTTTTCTTAAAAAAAAAATGCACAGAGCATCTTAGGGAACTTATGGAGAAGATAAAGGACAAGTTCCAATAATACTGTTTAAAATAGAAAAACGTTAAGTTTTCAAAAGTATAGATAGAGGCTACCAGAGTCTGAGGTCAAAAGAGAAACCAAGGTTTCAAAAGAACATATGGGTTATGGGACACTGCCACTCAGGAATGGGGATATTATCTGTGTCTTAATCTTACAGTTTGGGAATGAAACAACTAGTTTCTGGCTGAAGCAGTTAATAAAAATGGCTTTGTAGGTTTAGATAAAAATCAATATTCTATCTTCATATCTTTAGTGACAGTGATATTAGATTTTGAAAAGCAAAAATACAGATCAATCTCCGTTTATGAAGATCATAATCAAAAATGGGTTCTAAATAACACAGTTATTTTTCATGTTTGAGTACAGAAATACATAATAAAATGTTATAATAAAATATACATAAAGAATAATCCTGGATTTTATGAATGGGCTTTATATTTAACCATAACTCTATAATAAATTCTATTACTTACATTGTAAATTAGGAAAGTGAAAATTAAGGTAGTATATAGCTAAAAATCACATTGCTTTTGTCCAATAATCAAATAAAATTTATTTTTAAGTTTCTTTCATATATGACACTTCAGCTTCTCCAAATACTTTGAATGCACCCCACGAAAGCTGTCTCCTTCAAGATACACACACTGATATGGGAATCGGATTGACTTAGCTAGACTTGGCTCTACCACCAGCTATATGAATTTGGACAGGCAAATTTTCTGGCCTAAATTTTCTCATATGTAAAATAAGTTGTTAAAAGCAAATAAGCTCTAAGATTCCTCTGAAGTTAAAAACAAACAAACCTCAAAGCCTACCCCTACTCCCAAACCATCAACCAAAGCAAAAAGTTTCAAAACTAATATTAAAGGGGTTTAGGTTTAACTACCTTTCTCCTTTTACTTGATTCAGCCAACTTAAGAATTTCCTAATAGCAGTCCGGTTGACAATTTCATCTCTAATAGTTTCAAACTGGAGAAAAGCGATGTGTATCCTATATTCCTTTAGAAACAATTCTGTAACAAAAAAACTTTCTAGGTCCAGAATTGTGTCTCTATTGAAAAATTAAACACTCAAAGGCTTCTTTGTGGATTTCAAAAGGTTTCTATATCAATGCATTCCATTTCAGCCATGAATTTCCTCTGTTTATTGCACACTGCTTGCAATTGACATATGTTTACAATCTTTTCGATTGGATCTGCACAGAAAATAAATTCATGTGGCCATTTGTTTGCAGTATGATGTTGACAAGCACAACATACTCATCCTGGTTATACTGAAGAACCTATGATATGAATATAGCTAATAGAAAAATTTTTTGTGGCTACATTGTAAATAAAGTGCTGAAATGACTATAAAGACAGTAATGATCACTTTGTTGCTTTACCTCTGCCTACAATTTTAGGGTATTCTCTACCGCAAGCATAATTTGAACTTACATTAAAAAAAACCTACTGTTTTAGTGTTAAAGCCCCTTGTCATATACCTCTACAGTGTTAAGCTTTTTAGAATGCTAGTTGATATCATCAAGACAACAATTCCAGAAAATACCCTAGCTACTAGATTCAAGTAGCATTCCTATGAACATTAGCTCCATCAACATAATATCTGCATACTAACGGACATTAAATTAAATTAAAAAACCTTTTTGTCTGACAAATAAGGGAGAATATTAAAGGCAGAACAAATGGCTCCACTTCTGCAAAATAAGCAAAATTAAAGCAAAAAAAAAAAAAAAAAAAAAAAAAAAAAAAAGAAAGAAAAGAAAGGAAGCAAGCAAAGGGAAGGAACTCAAGAGCTATTTGCAGCACTGGTCCCTTGCAAATTCTAAAAAGGAAGGCAAAAGAGAGAAGGCGCTTCTTTGGACAGGCACTTTTCCTTGGGCCAGAAGCCCAAAAGTTACTCTTTTCACAACTTGCAATACCCACTGATTTCAGTATAAGATGTCTAATAGATGTGGATTCCATGGGAATGTCTGGGAGAAGAGTGGCATTTGCTTTCTCGGCTTGGAGCCCTAAGAACTGTACCAGAGCACTCAAAACCCCTCCGTTATTTTCGCAGAGGCAGCTGAGGGCATCCTCCTCACGCACACACCTGCAGGATCCGGCAGCTCCTTCCTCTCCCCCTGCTGGCCTCAGAGCTGGACCAAGGTCCCGCGGCCCGCATACCGTTAGTCCACGGGCTACCCTGGCGCCGGCCGGCGACACCCGGCCCCTGGGAAGCCCAGAGGTCACGCCCCTGTCCGAGCTCCGTGGCTCCGAGCCACGCCGCGGCGGCGTGAAGCAGACACCGGCCCCGCCAGGATGCGCATTCTAATGGGAACTTGAGGGAGCGTGTCTACACTCGTGCCGACTGGGCGGTACAGCCCCAGCGCGGGCTAGGGGACCGCCGACCTGTCCCGCCCTCCTCGCGGCGAAGGGCAGAGGTCCGTACCTGTCCTCGGAGACACTGATGACGCCCTCCTCCTTGGGAACGATCACGGCCATATTCACCACCTCCTGGGACCCCTCGACCCGCTGCAGCAGGATCGGCTTGCGGGTCAGCGGCTTGGGCTGGATCTCCGCCGCCATCAGAGGAGGGGGCGCGCCGGGAGCGCCGCTGCCAAACGCGCGGTGGGACGGCGTGGAGGAGACCGCTCGGCCGGAGGCGCGCGCTGAAACGAGGACTCTGGTTCGTCCGGACGGAACGGCGGGGACCCGCGATCATAGCCTGGCCGCCGCCTCAAGGAACCACTCTCCGCTCCCGGCTCGGAGCCCCGAAACCGCCAGCCAGCGCAGCAACCCAGCGCCGCCACCAGCGCAGGGGGCGGGAGCTGGGGGCGGAGCCGGGAAGGGGCGGGGCCTGCCGCAGGGTGTGGCCGCCGGCCCGGCCCCGGGTGGACGGTGCACTTCCGGAGGGCGTGGAGGAGGACGCAGAGGGGAGGAAACCTCAAAGGGGGCGGGGCGCTGGCGCCCAATGCGCGTGCGTCTGCCCGCTCGCTCACTTCCGCCCGCCCGCCCCGCCCCTCTGCAATTCCCAAACCCTCGCCCCACATTTCCCCGGGACGCATGCGCCTTCTGTTCTCTGAGGTTTCCCCCGAGCCTCGCCGCCGTCCACACCCAGCGTGTAGTCCCCTCCCTTTTTAATCTCCCGGGAACGCGCTGGCCGGAGGCCCGCCCTCTCTCGCCCCAAAATTCTTCTAAAGAGGGCGGAGGGTGGGGAGAGGTAAAGCGCGCCGGGGCGAGGCCGGAAAAAGAAGCCATGGGAGAGATGTAGTGGCAACGTGATTAATCCTGCGCACTGGTTACCTGTCCGGAGCGGCTTCCTTAGTAAAGTACGGCGGGAGGCTCACCTCTCTCAACTTGCACTGGGCCCAGGCCCCCGAGTGACACTCGTGGGCTCCTGGGAGTTGTAGTTTCTCGGAGCCTTCGCTCCCTTGGCTTTAAGTGACCTATTGCCCAATTCTCTGCGCTCCTTGCCCGGGGAGCTCCGTAGCCTCCCTGGCCATTGGCCGAGTTCCGGCCAGGACTGACCTCTAAATGCAGGGAACTGACTGAACAGGCTATCCTATGCCCTTGGTTCAAGCCGCTTCCCCTAATAGTGTAACTCTAGGGGTGAGGAAATAAGAGACTCTCTCATGTAAGTGTTTTTGAGGGAGTTTAGAGATCGTATGTAGTGTCAACAAACTATGTAGGTGGTTACTAGCCTAAGAGTACTTTAGCTTCCAAGTTAGGACTAGTATATCCCCCTTTCCTCCCTCTCCCCCCAAGCTTGACCCCATTGCTCCTGGTTCTGACTCCTTAGCAATCCAGCCTTTCTAGCTTGCTCCAGAGACAATGGAGTTATTGTGATTATGTTGCCAGAAAGGGGACCTGGCCCTGACCAGGTTTGCCTAAGGCCAGCTAGTTGTATGTGGGTTCTCAACTTGGTGCAGAAACATTTTCACAACAGGAATCCAGGTGAATTTTAGAGGACGTTTCTTAAAGCTGGGGACTGTGGAACAAGGGGCTGGAGAAATGAGCCTAGGCTGGTCTACTTTGACTCACTAAGAAGTCAGAGAAATGGGGGCCTTGGGGACAGGTTCAGGGGGCTTGTCTGGGACAAACTACTGAGGACATGCTCCTGGAAGGAAGAGAGAGTGCTGGGATCTTCCTTTGGAGGGGTTTTAAAGGCTGGGCATTTAGAGGAGGACCTCAATAGAATGTTCATCAGCTTTATGCTAATGTATCAAAATTAGGTTTATTCTCTTAACTTGATCTACCCTTGGTTGTGGTTGGCAAATGGTGTATTTGGATTTCTGCTATCTGTTTCCCTCAGTATGAGGATTTAAGCTATTTGCCCTCTGGTTGGGGTAAGGTACAAACCTTTTACGTGTCTTTGGTTTAGGGAAGATAAGATTTATTATATGGCTGTAAACTGCTGTTTAACTATCTGTCTGTTTCCCTATTCCTCTTGTCCTGGCTTATTGACCTTTCTCACACAGAACCTCTCTCAAAGCACAGTGCAACTCTTTACCACCTCCAGTCTTTGCAGAAATTCTCTAAGGCCTTGAATGGGTAATTAAGGTAATTTCCACTTTGGGAAATAAAAGCATTTTATTTTTTAAATAAAATTTTATTTTATTTATAAAAGCAAAGCATCCCACTTCTCTAAGCCTCAGGTTTCCCATCTATTAAGTGGAGGATAATAACACCTATCTTGGGTCGTTGTTGTCAGGCTTACATATTTCAAATACCTTTGTGCACAATAGGTCCTTTAAGGTTTAGGGTTTGGACACAGACATACTTGGGGGGCCATTTTTGAGTCTACTACCTTGGTTTTAAATATCATCTATATGCTCCTGACTCCTATCAACCAATTGTCCTTGGCACCAATTCAAGACCAACAGGAATCCCTAATTTGACATGTGGTGAAGAAGGAAAATTTGTGATAAGACATGGCTGTGAAAACAGCACACTGCAGAACAACTGAATTGTTAAACAACAAGGATGAAAACAGCACAGCTGTGAGGTTGTCCCAGATAGACATCTCTGTTCTACTCCTCAGTGGTCTGCTCTGCATGGGCCTGCTTCACTTTGTTCTAGAAAGATATCTTTTATGTTTTAGCTCAGCCAGGAGAGGCAGTCTTCCATTTTCAGTGGAAAAGCTCAGAGCCATAAGGGAACTGGCTAATACTGCCCATGTTAGCCAGTCTCTGATTGGTCCGTTCTTAGGCAAATGAGGACTCTAAATCCTTACAGTTTGGTCCAAAATTCACTGTCTTGATTCATCAGAATAGATCCGCTCTGGTTGGTCGAAACTATGAAGCTCCCATTGAATGGGGAAAGCGTCAGTCCTATTGGTTGAAATAGGGTTCTAGGAACTCCTCTATAATGGTGACTCAGATAGCAGAAACACAGTGCAGGTAGGCAGTTCAGTGCAGACTTCTCTGTGAAGTGCAATTTGCATGAGAGGCCCTTGTGCAGAAGTGGCTACTAGGCTTTGTTTTTGTTTGTTTGTTTGCTTTAATTTGAGCCCAGTTAGCCACCAGGAGCCCTTCTTAGTAGATGTCTTTTTTCTTCCCTTCAAGGTTTACACTTCATACCCTTATCTCTACTGCTGACTCATCCCTGAATTCCAGATTCAGATATCTAATGCTACTCCACTTTGTCACTTAATAGTTTAATGTTTCAAATATCCCTAGACAGTATCTTTATAAATGTTTTTAAATTCTCACCCAAAGATGCTTTATTTATTTTAGAGTGAGACCAAAATTGGTTCAAAACTAATTTCCTAGGAATTGTTCTTGATTTTGTTTTTTTTCCTCACAATTCATATCCAAATCATTAACAAGCCCTATCAGCACCACCTCCAACGTATAATTTGAATTTTCTCACTTATATCATCTCTACCCCAACCCAAGTCATCATAATCTATGGCTTCTACTGCCACAGTAGTTAATTCCTTTCCCTACTCCTTTTTGAGCCTGACCTTCCAAACTTACACGATCCATTTTTATCACAGCAGCCAGAGTATTTTGTTTTAAAATATCAACCAGATCAGTTACACCTCTGCCGTAAAACTCATCAATGGCTTACCATTGCACTTGGGATAAAATACATCTCCAACTTCACCTCTTCTACTCAGTACTCTCCAAGCCCTGGCTTGGAAATTCCCAATAAACACCCAGCCTCCTTCCTGCTGATGGTCTTTGCACCAACTGTGTTCACCTCCTGGCTATTTTCTTCTTAACACTCAGGCTTCAGTTACAATGTTAGCTCATTAAAGAATCTTACCCTTCCACCTCTGCAGTACTCATTTGTTCATAACACTGTTATGTCACTCTATTTTATCTCCCTCACAGTACTTCTGCCCAAAATAACCTTGCTTGTTTCTTATTTATTTCATGATTTTTCTCTACTAGAAGAGAAATATCAAGAGAGAAAGGATGTTGTATGACTGTTCATTATTATATTTCTAGCCCCTAGAATAGTACCTGGAATGTTAGGAGGCACACTGTATTTATTGAATGAATGAATAGAAAGAAAAAGAGGTTCGAATTTGTTTAACTCTATTCCATTAGAGTATAATGGAGAGACTGGAATCTATACCTTGCCCTAAGTCCTGGGATGGAAAAACTCTTGAGAGAATACATACAACAAATGCTAGTAGCAAGGTGAGCATAATAGCCAAGAGAAAGGGCTAGCATGCAATTTCAGAAAGCATAAAACTATCAGAAGCCCAAGTTGAAAAAAACAAACAAACTACTGCCTGCTCTAAGAAATTAAGACTGCTCAACCCAACTCTCCCATCCACAAGAAAGGGCATTTTGGTGGGGATCAAGAACAGAAAGAAGTAGCTTGATAGAAAAATTGATTATCATATTCCTTTTTATATAGTAAAGAATTTTGGAGAATTTAAGAATAAATATTATAAAGAGTCTGAGTTCTAGTGGCTTATAAATATTAACATTTATTGTAAACTAGAGGCCCAATACCCAAAATTTGCGCAGGTCCCTAGGCCTGGCTGGTGATCAGGGTTGATCTGTAGGGCAACAGATGGGATGATGGAGGGGGCCATTGGCATCCATCTTAGCCAGCCTGGTACTGCTCACCAGCTGTCTAGCCAGCCCCCCATCCCCATCACCTCACCACCTCCTTAGGTCACCTCCCCCTGCAGAGCGACTGGCAGGATGACCAGAAGGCCCTCCACTGGCACCCGCCTTGGCTGGTCTGAGGCCAGCAGGCTGGGGGCAGCTCCTGCATTGAGCATCTACCCCCTGGTGATCAGTGCACATCATAGCAACCAGTCATTCTGCCATTCAGTAGATTTGCTTTTATTTATATAGGATATTTTTTATACTTAAGGATTAGGTTTTTAATATATAGGATATTTTTATACTTGAGGATCTTTTATTGAGTACATGAAAAATATACTCAACATCATTAGCCATCAAGGAAATGCAAATCAAAACCACAATGATGTAATATTTCAGAACTAGGATGGCCATAATAAAAAAAGGCAGATAATAACAAATGTTGGCAAAATTATGGAGAAGTTAGAATCCCTCATACACTGCTAATGAGAATGTAAAATGGTGCAGCCTTCTAAA